TGCCTTCCTCTACATGTATCTCCTCCTCTCTGTTACGAAGTAGTGTATTATCTTTTCTCTCAAGTTTGAGTCTTTCCAAGGTTTCTTTTAACAGTTTTTTCCTTCTAGGGATCTTGTCTGAGTAAGACATTAATGTAGGTATATTAGCCAGTAAAGAGGACTGAAGACTGGGGACAAATATGTCATTCTCTTTTTCTTTCTGAGTTTTAATTTTATGATTTCGTTTTAAATTGCCTGGTAAAAAGTGATGTGCTTTCATAACATTACACGGCGTATAATCTAATGCAGTTTTTCTGACTAATTAGTATATAAAAATAAATACTGTCACACATGTGGTTTAGATTAAACTACTGTTCTTGAGCAACCACTATAGAGAAAGCTCCTTGCTGGATTTAAGCAACTAGATTGGCCTGCCAATAAGCAACTTTGGAGTGATGTTATTAATACAACTACATATTCTTAGCATTTGGAGCGAGTATTCAAATGAGTAGTTTGTGGTCCTTATGCCTTTGTTCTCATGAAGCGGTCTTCTCTGGACTTTGTTCGTTTTTTAGCAGGCCAAGATAGAGTAACTTCTTGAACAAAGAGAAGTAGTTACTATGCAAAGAGAACATACTATTGTTCTCTTAGTCTTTTTTGTGAACCTATTTTGGCCCAGTTTATTCAGGCAGAATCATGATCTGAGCTGGTGACCCGGGGCCTCTGTTCATTTTATGTCCATGGGCTATGGAAGCATGAGGTCCATGTGCATCTGTGCCGCATGCCCTCTGGTGAGCTCCCTGGGCACAAGAATCTCATCTCTGCTTCTTTACACCTCCACCTATATGTATCTGGCGACAGTTGGTACTAAAACCAACGTTTGATGAGTGAGGAAAACTACAGTATGTCTTTATCCTCTTGGCTGGAATAGGCACTCTCTTCTCATCTCTCGAGGGTTTTACCTGTTGACATTTTCTTTGCCTAGTTCATGGTAATCTGAAGACCTGACACTGTTCTTAGGATAATTTTTTGATCTGTGACTTACCATTGTAAATCTGAACAAAACTTTTTTTTTTTTTTTGCCATTTTAGCCTACATCTGTTGATCTTAGTAACAATGAAGCATCCTCTAGCAATGGCTTCTTGGGAACAAGCAGGATTTCAACGAACGGTAAGTGCAACTCAGTCTGTTCATTTAGTCCCATTCTACCTGAATGGAGCAAGAGGAGCCCTGCCAAGCCTTACAGCAGTAGGTCCACCTCTTGCATATCCCGATTTCCTTTCCTTGAAGGATACCCTGTGTCATGTGCCTTTGGGACTCTAACATAGAAGCACATGCTGAATTTCCTGACACCGTTTGGTAGATGGGACTCCACAGATATTAGGATGCCAGTTTCTGTTTCTTTCTATTCACTGAAGAATTTTGAAAAAATACTTTAAAAATCTTTATGGTGTTATATAGGAATACCATTTGATCCAGCAACCCGACTGCTGGATTTCTACCCAAAGGAAAATAAATCATTATATTTAAAATTTATCTGCACTTGTATGTTTATTGCAGCACTATTCATAATGGCAAAGATATAAAATCAACTTAAGCATTAGATAAAGAAAATGTGGTTTACATATATAAGAGAATACTACTCAGCCATAAAAAGAATGAAAGCATGTCTTGCAGCAACATGGATGGAATTGGAGGCCATTATCTTTTTTTTTTTTTTGAATTGGAGTTTCGCTCTTGTTGCCCAGGCTGGAGTGCAATGGCGCAATCTCGGCTCACTGCACCCCCCACCTCCTGAGTTCAAGTGATTCCCCTGCCTCAGCCTCCTGAGTAGCTGGGATTACAGGCATATGCCACCACGCCTGGCTAATTTTGTATTTTTAGTAAAGACGGGGTTTCTCCATGTTGGTCAGACTGGCCTTGAACTCCCTACCTCAGGCAATCTGCACACTTCGGCTTCCCAAAGTGCTGGGATTACAGGTATGAGCCACTGCCCCTGGGCGGCGGCCATTATCTTAACTGAAATAACTCAGAAACAGAAAGTCAAATACTGCATGTTCTTACTTATCAGTGGAAGCTTAATAATGTGTACACATGGACATAGAGTGTGGAATAATAGACATTGGAGGCTTGGAAGGTTGGGAGGGTGGGAGGGGAGTGAGAAATCACTTAATGGCTGCAATGTACATTATTCAGATGATGGTTACACTAAAAGCCCAGACTTCACACTATGCAATATATCCATGTAACAAAACTATGCTCTTATGCCTTAAATGTATATGAATTTTTAAAAAGGCAAAAAAAATCTGAATGGTGTATAAATGCCAATGCCGTTGCTTGGAAGGATGGTAGAAACCTGGTATGCATGTAGCCACTGCTCTCTTTCTTCCCCTGTGGTAAACATCACCATTCAATAGTAGCTCTCCTCACTGCAAAGCCAGATTTGGTCTCAGGATACTTGTCAACATGCAACGCAAAGTCACCACAATCACACACTGGGAGTTGGCATGCCCCATGTGTTAGTCTGCTAGGGCTGCCCTGACAAAGTAGTACCAACTAGGTGGCTTAATTAGCAGAAATTTATTTGCTCACAAATCTGGATGCTTAAAGTCTGAGATCAGGTGGGACAGGGCTGGTTTCTTCTGAGGACCCTCTTCTTGGTTTATACATAGCCGACTTCTCCTTGTGTTCACATGATCTTTCCTTTGCATTTCTATGTCCTAATTCCTCTTCTTATGACGTCAGTCATACTGGATTAGGAACCACCATAATGACCTCACTTCAATGTAATCACCTATTTAAAGACCCTGTCTCCAAATATGGTCACATTCTGAGGCACTGGGGCTTAAGGCCCATGACCCTGAATAAAACCAGTTAGCCAGGCTGGGCGTGGTGGCTCAGGCCTGTAATCCCAGCACTTTGAGAGGCCAAGGCCAAGGCGGGCGGATCACCTGAGGTCAGGAGTTCAAGACCAGCCTGGCTAACATGGTGAAACCCCGTTTCTACTTTTCTACTAAAAATACAAAAAATTTGCTGGGTGTGGTGGCACACACCTGTAATCCCAGCTGCCCAGGAGGTTGAGGGAGGAGAATCACTTGAACCTGGGAGGTGGATGTTGCAGTGAGCCGAGATCGCACTGTTGCACTCCAGCTTGGGCCACAAGAGCGAAATTCCAATTCCATCTCAAAAAAAAAGAAAAGAAAAGAAAAGAAAAAAACCAGTTAGCCATCTCTCTTGTTCTGACCACAATGTTTTTTATTTTCCCAAGCGACTGATTTCTAATAAATATGGAAGCTTTAAGCATTAGGTTCTCCCAGGCTCTGAGGGTCTAGTCCCCCCACCCATCTCTTATCTGACTCTGCTGTTCCTCGCTGGGAATTTTCCAGTCCTGTGTATGTACCCCTGTGATCCAAACACACAAATGAATGTGCAGCCTGTGAGCACAGCAGCCCTGCTCTGACAGGCCCAGTGCCTTCCATTATTTTCAAACATTATTCCATCCTTGTGAATGTTTTTTCACATCCGCCACACATTGTTATGAACAGTGAATGATGAAAATCCTTCATCCTTGGAGGGAAAATTGGAGTTTTCTTTATTTATCTTAAAATACACATAACATAAAATTTACCATTTTAATTACTTTTAAATGTGCAGTCTTGGGAGATGAACTTCATTTATATTGTCGTGCAATCATCACCACCATCCAACTTTAGATCTTTTTTCACCTTGCAAAACTGAAACTCTGTACTCATTAAATAATAACTCCCATTCCCCGCTCCCTCCAGCTCCTGGTAACTGCCATACTATAGTAGCTCGAATCTTCAGAAACCACCTAACATCTTTTGAAACCAAGAGCAGTGGCTTATATGGACAATTTAGTGAGGGTAATAGAATTAAGGATTAAATACATTTTGTGATTTTCCTGGGAAACTTAGACTCCACTGAGCAGGGGCTGGACAGCATTTGAGCCGGTGGTAGTCTCATGTAGGGTGGTTTCACACAGTGACTACGTCAAAGGCAGTGGTCATGTAGAGTTCTAGAAATTCATATTACTTTGCGGTAACATTTTGTATTTTTATAACGTTATTTTCAACATGCCAGAAAGTCAGCATCTCCCATACTAATTTAAACAGAAAATACTCATTTGGAAACAGATTTTAATTTCATATTTTCTAGAAGCTAGGAGTAAGTGATATGCCCTGAGGTGAAACACTGGCTTTTATTCTTCTGGGGAATGACCTAGAATAAAAACTGATGGCAATGTTCCAGGCAATTTCTCTTCTTCTCATTGGGAAATGTCAGAGATTCAGCTTCTTTCTGGGCAGAAGTTGCTGAGGACAGAAGTTAGTCGGGAACCCTTCAGGGAGTTACACAACAGCTAAGGGCAGGAGAGCTGCCCTCCATAAATAGGTATGGAGAAGGGAATGGGGAGGGAGGGTTTTCTCCTTAGCCAAGAAGAGAAAGTCTACAATATTACAAGAGCAAAAACTAAGTCAAGATCTGTTTTTGTTTTTGTGAGACAGGGTCTTGCCCTGTCCCCCAGGCTGGAGTGCGGGCGTGACCATGGCTCACTGCTACCCCCACCTTCTGGAGTTGGGTTAAGTGATCCTCCCACCTCAGCCCAGGCACATGTCACCACGCCCAGCTGATTTTTTGTGTTTTTGGTAGAGACAGGGTTTCAACACGTTGCCCAGGCTGGTCTCTAACTCCTGAGCTGAAGCGATCCACCCGCCATGACCTCCTAAAGTGCCAGGACTACAGGCATGAGTCACCACATCTGGCCGAGATCTGTTATTTTTAACAAAACATTCTGTGTTTTCTTCACAATTTTCCATTTTTAGGCTGAAGACTTCTGTATAGTCATGAATGGTTTCAGCAATACGGGCAAGCTGTATCCAAAACCACAAGTTTGGATTGCAATGCATTTTTGACATAGTAGTTGTAAACAGTAGCACTAGAATGAAATATGAGCTGTTACCACATTCTCTTCATGTTTTAGATAAATATGGGATATCTTCTGGTGATGCTGGAAGTACCTCCATGGAAAGAGGTGTGAAAAACAAACAGGACTTTATGGATTTGAGTATCTGTACCAGAGAAAAATTGGCACATGTGAGAGATTGTAAAACAGGTACCCAGTTTTATGTTATTTACTTGTTTAATGTTACCAAATCTTGCTTAAGGAATTCCAAATTCTAGGTCTAAAATAAATAAGTTTGTATGTTTGCTTAACAGATATTTACTGAACATCTTCTATGTCCAAGGCGCTGTTAGACGCTTTAGTTTTTCTAGCCTTAATTTTCTCTTTTATTAATAGAAGTAATACCTTCCCCAAAATGACATCTCACTTTTGGAAAAGATTTTCTTCATATACTGGGGTGGGAGTTAAAAAGATGTTTCTTTTCTTTCCCAACATGGGAAGTAATAACCTTTCTGGACTTCAGCTGTAAAAAGAAAGACAACCTATTTGGGGGATTCTTTACCCAGATTCCAGGCTCAACCATAAAATTGCATGCAAATTGTCAGTATATGTCTTTTCTGGGAAGTAAGTCTGTTGTTTTCATTAGATTCTCAAAAGGCTTTGTGGCCCCCTCACGAAAGTTAAAAATCACTGATGCGGATCAGTGTTTTCCAAACTTTTTAAACCAAAATAAGAAATACATTATTATCCAGCATACACACACTGTCTCCACACAATTGAAGCAAAAGTTTCATGAAACAGTGCATCTCTTCCATTCTGTTTTATTCCGGTCTTTTCATTAAACATGCGATTCACCTCACCTGATTTCATAACTGCAGCGCTAATGGGACCCAGCTGCCGTTTGAAAACTATCATGTGTAGACGATCTTGAAGGGTCTTTCCGGCTCTGACAGTCTAGGTTGATGACTCTTTATATGAGCAGCTAAAATATGTTGCTTTGCCATTTCCTCAGGATCTGGGAGAAGAAAAGAGATCTGTTATTTAGCTAAAATAGCACAGAGGTTTCTTGCTCCTGCCAGATATATACCCCAGGTCGAAGCTGAGGAAATACTGAAGCACAGCTGATACCTTGTATTCCTCACCACCTTGGGGTCTCTGGGTTGCTTTCCTCCATGAGAAAAGCAAAATAGCACCTGTTCTATATCATTCTTTTCTTTTCTTTCTTTTTTGAGAGCATCTCACTCTGTTGCCCAGGCTGGAGTGTAATGGTGCGATCTTGGTTCACTGCAGCCTCTGCCTTCCAGGTTCAAGCCATTCTTGTGCCTCCGCCTCCCGAGTAGCTGGAATTACAGGCGTGGGCCACCATGCCCAGTTAATTTTTGTATTTTTTGTAGAGACAGGGTCTTGCCAGGTTGGCCAGGCTGGTCTCAAACTCGTGGCCTCCAGCTATCCACCCGCCTCAGCCTCCCAAAGTGCTGGGATTACAGGTGTGAGCCAGCGTGCCCAGCCCCTATATCGTTCTTTTCTGTAAGACCAAAACTGGATGATTCTCTGTAAGGAGAATTGAGAAGAACCTTCTTCGTGCCCTCCTGGATTCTGCTCTGGGGGGAACTTACACCATCCTGAGCTAACTGACTATGTCGTGGCCATCTCTGATTTTGTCCTATAGACTTTTAAGATGTGAATGAAAATGTCTGTAGGGGGCTGGAAGTCCCAGAAGCACACATGGCCTCCATGTGTCTGCAGAAAACAGAAGCCCAGAAGCCCTGTCTGTTTTCATGTCGGAAAAATGACAGTTCCTTCCTCTCTCCTCAGCCTTCCCCTTCATCTCTGAGGATCTTCTCTGAGATGATTTGGTCTAAGCACTGATAGAACTTTTTCAGAATTTTCAGAAATATGATTAACTTTTGATTATCTGGATTTCCCAGAGGTTGGGGGTTGTATATTCATAGTAAGAACCAGACTGTTTCTTTATAATATGAGAGCAGTATGATTTCAGAGCAGCATCTGAAAAAATTACTTGAGCTGATTTGAATTGCAGAAAATGAGAGGGGGAAGGCAAGCTCTGAAAGGCGTCCTGGAATGGCTGAGTTCAGATGCTTCTCGTCTCACAAGGACAGGAATGTCAGTGTCAGCTCTTATGTTCTTATGAAGCCTGCTTCATGCATGATCCCATTTTAGCTCCCAAAGGTGTTATTAGGCTGCAAGTTTTAGGGTTTATCCTGTGTCACTGTGCAAAAATCCTTGCTTTACAGCAACTACTATGCATATGCAAATACATTTTTAAATGAAGTGATTAATATTAACATGATGTGATTTCCTGATTTAAAAATTATTTTTTGTTTGTCATCTTCAGGTTCCAGTGGAATACCTGTGAAACTGGTTACAAACCTCTTTAACTTAGATTTTCCTCAAGACTGGCAGCTATACCAGTACCATGTGACATACGTTCCAGATTTAGCATCTAGAAGGCTGAGAATTGCTTTACTTTATAGTCATAGTGAACTTTCCAACAAAGCAAAAGCATTTGACGGTGCCATCCTTTTTCTGTCACAAAAGCTAGAAGAAAAGGTATAGTATGATTAGTTTTTTCACTGTATATGTGGATGTGTGTTTATTATATGTGTATATATACACACACACACATATATATATACACACATATGCAAGGAGATTCCAAAAGGTTTGTGGAAAAATAGAATTAAAAGGTAAAAATTTTAAAAACTACCTTTATTTCTTACCAAGAGTTTTACTAAGGTCAAGACACTTTTGTAAGCAATGGTATCAGCCATTTAGTCCATCCCTAAATAACTAAGCGTCCTGGGAATTTAACTATGTCAGTGCAGTGTATTTTTTACCTTATTAACTGAAGAAAAATGGGTGCCCTTTACAGATTTTTTAAGATTATAAAACAAAAAGTCAGAAGGAGCCAAATCAGCAGTAAAGTGGATGCCCAGTGATTTCCCATTGAAACTTTTGCAAACTTGCCCTTGTTTGTTGAGAAGAATGAGCAGAAGCATTGTTGTCGTACTCTCCAGGGAAGCTCTCCTGGTCATTTTTCTGCTCAGGCTTTGGCAAAATTTCTCAAAACACTTTCGTAATAAGTGGATGTTACCATTCTCTGGCCCTCCAGAAAGTCAACAAGCAGAATGTCTTGAGCATCTCAAGAAACTATTGCCATGACCTTTGCTCTTGATGAGCTGGCTTTTGCTTTGACTGGACCACTTCCACCTCTCAGTAGCGATTGCTCTGATTGTGCTTTGTCTTCAGGATCGTACTGGTAAAGCCAGGTTTCATCTCCTCTTACAATTTTTTGAAGAAATTCTTCAGGATCTTGATACCATTTATATAAAATTTTTATTGACAGCTCTGCTTTTATCTGCAACTGATCTGAATGCAATGAATTTGGCAACCATAGAATGGAAAGTTTGCTCAACTTTAATTTTTTAGTCGGAATTGTATAAGCTAAACAAATTGAGATGTCTGTGGTGTTGGCTATTGTTTCTGCTGTTAATCTTTGGTCTTCTCAGTTACAGCATGAACAAGATGAATTTTTTCTCCTTGCAAATTTGTGTAGGTGGTCTGCAGCAGGCTTCATTTTCAACATTGTCTCATCCCTTCTTAAGATGAGTTATCCATTTGTAAACTGCTGATTTCTTTGTGGCATTGTTCCCGTAAACTTTTCATTACACATCAATGATTTTGCCATTTTTCTACCCAAGTATCACCAAAAATTTGGTATCTGTTCTTCCTTCAATCTTAGCAGAATTCATATTGGTCTGATAGGGGCTCTTTTCAAATTGATCTTATTTTTAGTGCCTCACACTGGATCCTGTTAGTATGAGTTTATTTTGGTGCAGAAATTTAGTACAAGTTAGTATGAGTTTATTTTGCTGCAAAATTTTTGAAATCCATACATAGTTTTTTTCATAATACATATTTCCATGAACTTTTTGAAGTCCCCTTATATATACTTATATATTTAAGAGATTAGTTGATTTTCATGACAATTGGAATGAGTGATTCACTCCTTTCCTCTTTCCTGTTCCCCTGCCTGAGAGCTTAAAAAAAGACTTCCTAATTAAGACTTCACTAGTAATTGATTTCTTAATTACGAAGCTGGTCTGGTATTTAAAAAATAAGAGCTGTAAGTGTCCTTGAAATAGGCATCTTAAAAAAAATTCCCAAAGTAGGCAAGACTAAGAAACACCATTTGGCCTATGGCTTCAGAACTTTAAATTATTTCTACCTTTTTTTGCTCCTGCACCCTTGTGCCTGTATGTCCAAATAACTTTACATCAATTTTTGATTCTAGAATTGCCATTTATTTAACGACTTGCTCTATCATATGAAATATGAGTTATGTCAATTTTTAAAGTTTTTTTTAATGCAACCATTGGAAATAGCTATTGTGTATTTCATATTCCTTTATCCATTTTTTTACACATTTAACATCTCCAGTCCTAAAATATAGTATGTATGTTTTCATCATATGTTTTGTTCTAAAACAATGTTACAATTACTACAAGGAAAAAAGAACCAATTTCTCTATGAAAAATTAAAACAGAGCATTGGATTAACATTTTATGCTTCTATCCCTTAGAAATCTTACTCCCTTAGTTCAACTGTTTGCAGATTTCAGTACCAATAGTTTAGATTTAAATTTTTAGGCTCTACGTAAATCTCTTTGAATTTTCTCAAGAAATGTGTTTCTAAGCACTCTTGGGCCTTTTGCCTTTTATGAGACCCTGAGATTTATAGGAGCTGCTTGAATGATTGTTGCATTGGATATGGAACATTAAAATTATACCATATGGTTAAATTTAATGGCTTAGAAAATCTAGATCTGTAAATTAAGAAACATTTTTATTCACCATAATTTTTTATCGATCCTTCAGTTCTTTGTCCTATGACCAGATGTTGATAGCATGCTAATATGGCTTCTTATACTTAAATGATATATTTCAAGTCTGTTGTTATCATTAAAAATGATTTTGTTCTTGTAGATACATTTCTAGCACTAGTTTAGAAATTTAGATATGTTGAAATTATTAAATACTACTCTTGAAGTGTTCAGCTTACTTCCATTGTACCTAAACAGAATGGAGAACTTATACTCTACAAATGCTAAGCATATGTTACTACTACTCATTTCTCATTCAAAATGAGCATGTAGTATGTGTCAAACACCTTTCTGTTGCTGGGGACGGAGCCTAATAAGGAGGCAAGTGAGAAAATAGACCGTAAAAACATGGTGTGATAAATCAGGCCTGTTTATTTCATTTCCCGGGTGTAGGGGATACTAGGTTTAAACAGAATAGTGTTGTCTTATTCCTTATAAACATATGACCTGTCACCCAGTTACAGTGCAAAAGAAAGTGTCCTACTGGAGATACTGCTGCTTTCACCTTTTTATTCTGATCTTGGTATTGACTGAGGCTTAATTCTGCATCCCCATCTATCCCCTACACATGTCCTAGGATGCTTATTTAAGTTGAAATATCTCGGCCACTAGTTGACTCATTGCACTCCTAGGAGTTCCAGAAGTCCTGTTCAGCTACCTCCTAACCTTTCACTGTCCAGGCCCCATTTGTACATCTGCAGCCAGACTGGTATTGCTATTCGTGTTCACATCTATTTGCCACTCTCATATACTTATAAAGAGCCTACTCTGAACCTGGCAGGGTGTTGCGACCATGGAGCAAACAAAGATAAATAAAACAGAGTACTTGTTCTCCAAAATTTCAATTTAGAATCAAAATTCTTTACAAATAAATACTATGTAAGGTAGAATGAAATAAGTGTCATAATAATTAGTATTTTTATTATGCTAACATTTATTGAGCACTTACTAGGTGTTAAGTACTGTCCTTCTTTGTTCTCCAGATTATCCCCAGCATCTCTCTCGAGCAGATCTTTGTGTCCCACAAGTAGCTGCTACCACCACTGCTGCTACCAATTACACCTACCAGATTACTCTGCCAGGCTCTTTTTATTTTTTTATTTTTTTATTTT